GGAGGAGGGAGTCGGGGAGAGATCGTGCTAGGATGTGAGTTATTGGAACTTGTTTGCTCGTTACTAACTCAGTGTGTGAGACACACAAATGCAGGACCAAAGCTTCCATAATTCAGCACTAGTATTATAATTCTGTCTCCATTTAGGATAAAAGCACTTTTCAGTGACAAAATAAGAAGGCTGTCATTTTCTATGAGAAGTGTAAAGAGCCCTTAGAAGTAAAATTGTTATAATAATTACGTAAGTCCTTGTCTAGGCACCATCTTGGCCTGGGCCCTGCCAGGTCTTCTGCAGCCTGGGACTGGCGGGCGCTGGCAGTCCAGTCAGCCCCTGACTCCACAGCCCTGCTCCTGGAGGGGTGACTCGTGAGCAGCAGCTGGTCCTGGCAGTTGTGCAGTTGGGAACTCGGGTGCAGGTGGTGAGGCCGGCAGGAGCGGGACTTCACTTGACACCAGAGCTTACACACTTACGCCCATTGTACCCAGCAGCCGTGAGACCGGCAGCCCCAGCCCTTGGGCCTGCACGTCATCTTCGCTTAATCTGAATAGCTGCCAGAAGTGACAAATTAGCACATTTCACATTGTAAGTGGATGTCTGGCTTCTCTGGAAAGACCAGCAGAGTAGTGTCATGGACTGAATTGTGTCCCCACAAAATCGTATATTCAAACCCTAACCCCCAATGTAACTATATTTGGAGATCGGGCCTTTAAGGAGGTAATTATGGTTAAATGAGTTCATAAAGGGGGGAACCCAATCCGATAGCACTGGTGTCCTTATGAGAAGAGGAAGAGTGACAGGAGATCTCACTCTCTCCATGCACACATAGAGTACCGTGAGCACGCAGTGAGAAGGCTGCCATCTGCGCGCTAAGGACGGAGGCCTCAGGGGACACCATACCTGCTGCCACCTTGACCTTGGACTGTTGGCCTCCAGAACTGTGAGAAAATAAATGTCTGTTGTTTAAGCCCCTCAGTCTGTGGTCCTTTGTTGTGGAAGCCTGGACAGACTAATACAAGCAGGTGCCCCCAGGCCGCTGTGCTGTCAAGTCCTCATTAGCTTGAGCTTTAGCCTGGGTGCTCGGTCTCCAGGTCACCCAGCTCACCCCTGGCTTCACTCTCCCCTTTGGCTCTTAGTCCCAGCAAGCAGGTGAGTTTGTACCACCTGCTCTAGGCCTAGAATTTCTGGAGCTTTTACTCCTGATCAGATCCCAACGCCCTTGTGAATGACTGTTTTATGCCGGTGTCTGGAACTGGCCAGCACCCCCAGAAGTGGAGCCTGCACCCCGTGCCAGAAGCCCAGCCTCAGATGGTGAGCCTCCATGGCAGGTGGCCCCCACCGCACCTGCCCAGGTCTTACTGTGTTTGCAGGTGTGGCAGCAGCATGGACGTCTTCCTCCAGGGCTTCTCAAAACAGATGGGGTCCTAGAAAGGGGGCTTCAGAAACACGTGGCAATCTGATCATATTTAGCTCCCCCAAGAGGTAAGCGGAGCAGGGGGTGAATTGCCAGCTGCCTTCTGTCTGCCTCAGTTTCCAAAGGGCTTTCTTAGGCACGTTTTTAATCCCTTATTTATGTTTTTCATTAGAAAGACTGGGCGAACCTGCGAGACTGAATGTGCCATCCGAAGTGACAGGGGGTTCCGTCCCTTTGGGAATTGGCTTGAGGCTCTGTGGCCACTACCTGTTTTTTTTTATGTTGTTAATTTTAGGTACCTTAAGGGAAATATAATTATGACGGCTAATGTGTTGTGAGGTCTATTTTGATATTCCACATGCATTAGCTCATTTAATTCTCACAACACCCTAAGGTTATTATGCCCATTATACAGATGAGGTAAAGGAACCTGCCAAGATGACAAAGCCAGTTCACACCCTGAATCGGAAGGAAGGTGAGTGAGAGTGAGCTGTGGTCTGGGAAGAATTCTGGCCCAGCACCATCAGGCAGGGGGATTTAAGTGTCCCCTGCAGCCTTTTGGGTGTCCTGATGCCTGCACATAGCCCGGACTGAATGTACTTACATGGCATGGGAGATCCGCCAGGCTTTTCCACCTTCCTAAGCGGAGTCCTCTGTTATCCACGTGATGGTGCTCTTCCTCTAGGGAGCACTTTGTGCAAGGCTGGTGAGAAGCAGCGGTTTTTAAGCAAGGCCAGGTCCAGGGAGGAGCAAGTGCTGTTTTGGTGTTTATGGTTGCCGTCCATTCTTGGTGGTTCTGCCATGTGGGTATCTAACCAAAGCCTATAATCAAGAGAATGAAGGAAAGAACCTAAGAACCTTTTCTCATTTTTTTGAGGGCACATCTTTCCACCATGTGCCGCGGATCCAGGCTTCTGCAGATGTTCCCAGGAGGGGGTTCCTTTGGGAGTCTGTTCAGAGCTTGCCTCTGGGAGATGGGCGCTCCGGGCAAGTGTCCCTTCCGTGTCTTGCAAGCCTTGAAGTCTCGTCCTGTCTTAGCATGGGCACCCTCCCCTGCTCCTTACCTCCCCTGGGAGAGTGTCTCCTGCACCAGACCAGGCTTTGTCTGGGACAAAGTGACTTGACAGGTAACTTAAGACATGGGAGGTCTGGTCATAGTGACGGGAGGCCAGCCTCTTCCCTTCCTGGGCCTCACTACTCAGAAGTGGATTCACCAGGTGAGAGGATTAAGGACAGCAGGTGAGAGAGGCAAATTTCAGCTTTGCTTTTGAGGTCTTGGGAAAGTACACAGAGCTCTTAGAGTGAATACAAAGATAGACAGACTGCTTAGGAGTGGGACGGAGCTCCTGTCAGTGCACAGCAAGGTTCCTTGTCATGCTGGGATTCTGGCCTCTCCATACATTTGAGCAGGTCCAGGTGACAAAGTGAAGCACTGAGCCCGTCAATCTGAAAGAGCCCTTATCCCCTGGTTACCTTTGTCCTGGGGAGGTTATTGGTGCACGGAATGGTACTGAACAATTGGTCAAACATCAGGACAACAGACAACATGCCCCGTCTGTCAGACAAGCTGCAGTCCTGCTGAAGGCAGCAGCTTGGCTGAGGGTCCTCCGTCTCCAAGGCCAAAGACGGCTACCCTGCGTTCTCACTCACCTCCCTGCCTCCCTACTGCTGCCCTGTTGTCACTGAGACTGGCAGCCTCTCCAGGCATCGGTAGACCCAGGAGCAGTGAAAATTCAGCCTAGAGAAAGGGGACTTCACTCAGGCTGTTGCCCACTAAGCAGCTTGGCCCATTTATTCACCATTTTGAATTGTCCTCCTAGAGAATTGTGTGTTTATTATCCAGGAACAATTTGATATGGTGATGGAGGAAGGCCTCTTTAATGTCCTTTAGGGCTAGGGGTCTGATTAATCTACCCTTGGCCTCCATCTGTTATCTTTTGAAAACCTTTCTGAGGATTTCGCCTGATCTTCAGTTCTCCTGGCTTATGCCGGCTGCTGCAGAGCAGTTGGTGACGGGGGTGAGGCGAGAGTGGGGGGGACCCACGGGTCCCCAGAGGACAAGTGTGGGACAGACCGGAAGGACTCTACAATAACCACTGACTGCCGAGTACTTGTTGGCTTTCTCCTGCCACACTTGGGCCACTTTCCAGCAGGTAGAAGTGCAAGGGCAGCTTTCCATCTGTCTCCACAGTGGTGAAATACACTAGTATCCGGGTTAATTAATGTTCCCCGGAAGCAGATCCTGAGGCAGAGATTCAAGTGCAAGTAGATTATTTGTACTTGTTCCCAATAAACATGAATAGGGGAGTGAGGAAGTGAGACAGAGAAGGGCAAAGGGTGTCATTTGGGCCTGTTACCACTGTGGGCATCTGCTTAACCCTTAGGGAACTCTGGGAGCCCATGGAGAGCACGCCTCAGAGCTACCCCACCTGGAGAGCATGGTGTTTGTGCATCCGTTCCCATCAGACGCTGGTGCAGGCGGCCTGGCTTGTAAGTGGTCAGGTTAGGAACCCAGGCAATCCGACCTCTAAGCCCCATGCTTTGACACCACTGTTTCTAGCAAAATGTTCTGCCAATCCCCTGCAAACCTTCCTTTCCACATTCCCCCTTGGAGGGGTAACTGAGAGCCTGAAGTGCCCAGTGAAGGTCCCTGTGGGCCAGTCTATATTCATCCTGCCTTCTGTCATCACTATTCCAGCAGGGCTGAGGGGGTGGGTGTAGGGCTCAGCGTCTAATTAGAAAGTCTTCTCCTATCCCCAGTCTCCAAGACTGCCCTCTGCCTAGTTGCCCATTTGCCCCACAAGGCCCCCATCTCCATGTTTCCTGGTTCCCATAAGCTTTACCTCAAGGCCCGAGCTCAGTGGATCAGCTACTGCACATTCAGCCCCTCAGGTCCAGAGGAGGAACCTGGCTTTCTTCCTGTCTGGGGCCCCTGCCCCATATCCCCACCTGCTGCCAAGCCTTCCTTTGCCACTGGGACACCTAGGAGAGGAGCAGGTAGCAGAGCGCTCACTAGAGAGGTGTGAATAGCCGGGGCTGAGATGGCCCCGCACGTTGAAGGTGGGTCTTCCCTCTCCTGTTTCCTCATTTCCCTGGGAGTCTTGTTTCCTGATATTCCCGGGGTGTGTCTGTTTTTAGCTTCTGTTGGAAGCCATTCTTGTCTGTGAACACAGCAAAACATGCATCCGTTTGTGGCACACGCATCTGCCTCCTGTCTGTCTGGGGAGGACTTTTTCTTTTTTCTGAATATCAAATTATTGCCCATCCACAATCCAGAATTCTGTCATTGGTAATAGTGATTTATTTGATTATTATTTCCTTTTTGTCCAAAGCAAGTTATGTGACCGAGTCCAAAGTCAAGGGACAGGGATATCTACTGCCCCATGGAGGTGGTAGGGGAGGGGAGCGTGAGTACTTTTGAACAAACCCTCATCTACCATATTACCAATGTGCAAAATGGTGCACGGACCCGGACCCCTTGCTGTGACTGGAATACAGAGCCAAGCACAGTGCCTGGCACACAGCAGGAGCTGCAGATGACTCCAGACAGACTGTGCCAACAACTGTTCCTTTTCCTTCTCTCCTGCAGGCGTTTGCCGGTGCTCAGGGTACCCGCAGGGATGGGGAAAGCCCGCCAGGCCTGTGGTACTTCCCAGGGGCCGTCGTCTCACTAGGGCCCCCTGGTGGCGGTAGGATGCACCTCTCAGCGGTGTTAAACGCCCTGCTGGTGTCGGTGCTGGCGGCAGTCCTATGGAAACATGTGCGCCTGCGCGAGCATGCGGCCACCCTGGAGGAGGAGCTGGCCCTCAGCAGACAGACCCCAGAGGCTGCCCCCGCGCATAGGATCGACTACCCGAAGGCACTGCAGATCCTGATGGAGGGCGGCACGCACATGGTGTGCACCGGCCGCACGCACACGGACCGCATCTGCCGCTTCAAGTGGCTCTGCTACTCCAACGAGGCCGAGGAGTTCATCTTCTTCCACGGCAACACCTCCGTCATGCTGCCCAACCTGGGCTCCCGGCGCTTCCAGCCAGCCCTGCTCGACCTGTCCACCGTGGACGACCACAACACCCAGTACTTCAACTTCGTGGAGCTGCCGGCCGCCGCCCTGCGCTTCATGCCCAAGCCTGTGTTCGTGCCCGACGTGGCCCTCATCGCCAACCGCTTCAACCCCGACAACCTCATGCACGTCTTCCACGACGACCTGCTGCCTGTCTTCTACACGCTGCGGCAGTTTCCCGGCCTGGCCCGCGAGGCCCGGCTCTTCTTCATGGAGGGCTGGGGCGAGGGCGCACACTTCGACCTCTACAAGCTTCTCAGCCCCAAGCAGCCTCTCCTGCGCGCACAGCTGAAGGCCCTGGGCCGGCTGCTGTGCTTCTCCCAGGCTTTCGTGGGCCTCTCCAAGATCACCACCTGGTACCAGTACGGCTTCGTCCAGCCCCAGGGCCCCAAGGCCAACATCCTCGTTTCAGGCAATGAGATCCGGCAGTTCGCGCGCTTCATGACGGAAAAGCTGAATGTGAGCCGCGCAGGCGCCCCCCTCGGCGAGGAGTACATCCTGGTCTTCAGCCGCACCCAGAACAGGCTCATCCTGAATGAGGCGGAGCTGCTGCTGGCGCTGGCCCAGGAGTTCCAGATGAAGACAGTGACGGTGTCCCTGGAGGACCATACCTTTGCGGATGTTGTGCGGCTGGTCAGCAACGCCTCCATGCTGGTCAGCATGCACGGGGCCCAGCTGGTCACGGCCCTTTTCCTGCCCCGTGGGGCAACCGTGGTGGAGCTCTTCCCGTACGCTGTCAATCCTGACCACTACACGCCCTATAAGACGCTGGCCACGCTGCCTGGCATGGACCTCCACTATGTAGCCTGGCGCAACGTGGTGCCAGAGAATACGGTCACGCACCCTGAGCGGCCCTGGGACCAGGGCGGCATCGCCCACCTGGACCGGGCGGAGCAGGCGCGCATCCTGCAAAGCCGTGAGGTCCCGCGGCATCTCTGTTGCCGGAACCCCGAGTGGCTCTTTCGAATCTACCAGGACACCAAAGTGGACATCCCGTCCCTCATCCAAACCGTACGGCGCGTGGTGAGGGGTCGGCCGGGGCCGCGGAGGCAGAAGTGGACCGTCGGCCTATACCCAGGCAAGGTACGGGAGGCGCGGTGCCAGGCGTCGGTGCAGGGCGCCTCGGAGGCCCGCCTCACCGTCTCCTGGCAGATCCCATGGAACCTCAAGTACCTGAAGGTGCGGGAGGTGAAGTACGAGGTGTGGCTGCAGGAGCAGGGGGAGAACACCTACGCGCCTTACATCCTGGCCCTGCAGAACCACACCTTCACCGAGAACATCAAGCCCTTCACTACCTACCTGGTGTGGGTGCGCTGCATCTTCAACAAGAGCCTCCTGGGGCCATTCGCAGACGTGCTTGTGTGCAGCACGTAGCGCGCGTGCTGAGGCCAGGCCGTGGGAGGCGGCCCCTCCGGCTCAGCGTCCCGGGGTGGCTTCTGGGAATTGTTTATTTATTTCTTGAGCAGGCCTGCCCCAGGCCTGTGCGTCCGTGTCTTCTTACTGTATCTGGGGTGTGGGGTTCTCAGCGCTCCTGTGTGCGCTGGTAGGATGGGACGCCACCCCACACCTCCTCCCATCCTGGGCATCCCCCGGAGGAGGTCCTAAGGGGAGGGGGAGGGGGAGGAGAAGAACGAAGGGAGGCAAGAATCCCGAGGAACCTCTCTGGTTGAGTGATCATGCTGTCCCTACCGAGTCCTGCTGGTTGGCACCCAGGTTTCTGGAAACTGCGAGGAACCATTTAGTGGTTTGGGTGGGTGGTTCCTCGGCTCCCATCACCATGAAATTCGTCTGTAGCCCAGTGAAGGTGTGCTTGGAACATTCATTAAATGATTATAAACACCTTGGTCAAGTCTTTTTATTAGACGGTAGGAAGGAGGGGGTCTGGGAGTCCATACCAGAAGCCCTTTAATCCTGATGTCATCCAAGGAGATGTGGCAGTGGGAAAGCTTCGAGGACTGGAAAGGAAGGCAGGCTGGTTGGATGTCACCTCGACGGCTGCATGCATGTCACAGTGCCATCTCAGTGGGACCAAAGCCTGGCAGTGGGTGGGAGGGCAGTGACCACTGAGGGTTCTTAGGCTCCACTCCACATTCAGACTCCCAAGACCACGATAGACCGCACCTGGCATCAGATTTACTTAGGACATAGGGCAGGGCGCTCAGCATGGCAGCAGACCAGTGAGGCACTTCCCTTCCACAAAAGGACTCTTCACACCAGTCTGGGGGCCATTTTTCTGCCGTCTCCCCCAGGTGACTGCTCGAGGGGGATGAGACGAAACCCAGTTGGGGGCACTTGGGCTTAGAAGCGCCATAGGCGCCATTATCTTCTAAACAATCCACAATCGTGGTTCCCAGGGTCCCTTAAAAGACAATGCCCACAGAAGAGTCATCGCGCTCCGGGAAGCCGACGCTCTCGTGTCCGACCAGATAATTTAGTTCATTTGTAACCCCTTCAGAGGTCATTTTTACTCTCAGTAGTTTTGCTGAATACCACGCCTGACATGCCACCTCCCTCTGGCTTCCATGGAAACAGCTAGAAAGTTAACCCCAGATCAAACTTGTCCTTGCAGGAGGAAAAAGAGTTTTCGCCTTTTCTTCATCGGGAGACCCTGATGCAGGTCTGACGCCTGCGAAGGACAGAGGGAGCTTCAGGTAGTGGCTCAGTCCTGAGAGTTGCCCAGGCTGGTCAGGAGTCCCCGAGGCAAAGTTGCCTGTTAGATGAGTCTCCTGGTCACTGGCTGAGAGCCGCTGTGGAAAGTGTGGCCTCAGCGCCCATTCAGCCAGTGGATTCATGGCAGGAGACCCAAGGGGCATGTCTTCATGGCCGCCCTGTGCCTCATGACATTCCTTTTTACCCAGAATATCTTTCTCCCTAACTCTACCCTCCATCTGCCACCATCCCAAACTGCCACGAGTCCACATAGAAAGATCCAGTTCAGTCGGAAGTCTCAGACACTGCTGGTGGGGGTGAAATGCTGCAACCATTTGGCAAACCATTTTGGCAGTTTCTGCTAAAGCTGAACACATAGCTACCTTACATCTCAGCAATTCCACTTTTAGAAATATACCTGAGAAATGAGTGCTGAGATCATCAAAAAGACGTATAAAACATCCCCAGCTCTGAATAGCCAAAAACTGTAAACAACCCAAATGTCCATCAACGGGTATATTCATGCAAAGGATACAACAACAACAAAATGGGTACATGCAGTGACATAAATATAGAAGCCAGACTCAAAAGAATATATACTATCTGGTTCCATTTATATGAATCCGAGGACAAGAAAATCTGTGGCACTAGACGTCAGAATCATGGTTACTAGGAAGCAGGTAAAGCTGGATTAACACAGAGGAGCTTGGGAGGCTGGGAACGTCTTGATCTGGGTGGTGGTTATACAACGGCTGTCCACACAAACAATCATCTGTTTACACACAAGATGAGTGCACTTTGCACACTTGACTATATGTATGCTACACCTCAGTTGAAAAGAAAAAAATGGGAGCAGCCGGGTGGCTCAGTTGGTTAGAGCGCGTGCGCTAACAACAAGGTTGCCAGTTCGATTCCCGCATCGGGGTGGTGGGCTGTGCCCCCACACACACACCCCCCGCCACTATATTGAAAACAGCGACTGGACTTGGAGCTGCGCTGTGCCCTCCATAACTAGATTGAAAGACAATGACCTGACTTGGAGCTGATGGGTCCTGGAAAAAACACACTGTTACCCAGTAAACATTTTTAGAAAAAGAGAAAAAACTGGCTCAGGTGGTGACTTCTAGAAACGCCCGTGTGTGTCCGCCCCAGCTCCCTGGTAATCAGGCCTGCCACATTCCCCAAACCCCAGCTCTTCCGCCCTGTCTATCTTCCCGAAAGGCACTCAGCTCCCACAAGGGGGTGCCCACAGGCTAGAAGCTCAGTGTGGGTGTTCCGTGTCTGTAGCTCTTGACAGAAAAGGAGCTCCCTAAATGGTTCATTGGTTCAAGAAAAACCATGGGTTTCTGCCTGTGTCCAAATCGCTTTTTCCAAATTTGAAATCCTGCTTTATGTGAAACTTTGTCCTGGTATTTTTTTTCTCTTAACATTATAACATAAACGCTTTACTGTGCCACTGAACATGATTCTTCGAAAACAAGATTCTGGTTGGCTGTAGAACATTCCATTGTATGGACTCACAAAGAAATTTGTATCCTTTCCCCAGGTCACAGCATTTGGCGAGCCCAGCCTGAGCCAACTTCTGCTAGCACTGAGTGTGACCAGCTTTGCTTCCTTTTGTTTTTAACATATTTTTTAAATCAATGTTTAGTGACTTCATGGTGAAAGGCACAGCTCTTCAGTGTCGAGTTCCATGAGTTTGACAGATGTGCCATCCATGTACCCCACACCCCTACACAATGTGGATTATGTCCATCGTCTCCATATTTGCAGCTTTTTAAACTTCAGACATTTAATAGGCGAGAGCTATTTCTTTGTTATTATATAGGAATGATTAAAGTGCATTTAACATTAGGGGTATGATTTCTCGATCCTGTTTGTCTTAAATCTGCATTTTAACACGTCGACCTGTTAAAGACAGGTGAAGCTAAGGGCAGGAGAGTCTGAGCTGGGATCTGGGTTGCTCAGGAAGCTCCTCAGGTCACACCGCACGTGTGCTACCCTCCCCACCTACAGTAAGCCTGGTTTGTGTTGGAGGCCTCCCCCCATCCCCAGCACCTTCAGCCCCCATACCCAAATGCCCTACCAGCCCCCACCCCCCAAATGAGCAGCCCCTGAGCAGTGCTAACCAGAACCCCAGGGGGACCAGGAGAGCCTTGGGCAGCACTGTTGCTGGTCTGGGGTGGGAAGGAGGGGTGATGCAAAGGAGGGAGAGCGACCGAGAAGGAAGACCCCCCACACTGTCCCTCAGAGTGGTCATAAATCCGAAAGAGGGAAAGATAGGCCAGCATCCATGGAAAAGCAAAAACCTGAGAGACAGCCCTTGCCTAGAGGTGGCCCATGAGTGGGGACTGCAGGAAACATCTTACTTGAGCTGGCCAGCAAGCCTCAGGGATTCAGGTGGGGACCGCTCGCTCATTCGAAAACCCAGGCCAAGGGGACATCTCAGCATGTTCACAGATGTCTCCCCTCCCGCATCTCTGCCCCCTGATTCAGGCAGAGCTCTCCCTCTGCCCCGCTCTCGCCCACAGCGCTGCCCTCACACTTCCTGCACCCTCAGTTACAGGGACCCTCCTTACCAAACAATGCCAAGACGCATGCTCTGACAGCCAGACGGAATATGTAAAACTGGGCCTGTCTCCAAACATCTGGAACATGTGGCCACCACAGCACATGGTCTCGTTCCTTCTAAATTTATACATTCTTGGGGGAAAGTTGCTCAATAAGATTTATTGAATGAGTGAGGGAAGGGAGGGAGGGAGGGAGGGAGGGAAGGAAGGAAGGAAAGAAAGAAGGAAGGAAGGAAGGAAGCTATAGTGGTGGGAGCAGAGGCCCTGGAGTCAAACAGGCCTGGGTTCAAATCCCAGCTCCACCAGTTACCTGCTCTGTGACCTCTGGGAAATAACTCAACCTTTCTGAGCCTTGGTTTCCTTTTCTGTCAGGTGGGATCAATAAAGACCACCTCTTGGGGTTGTTTCAAAGGTTTGTGATAAGGAACATAGGTAAAGCTTTTGGCACAGTGGAGGCCACCGTCTGTGTTCAATTCATGCCAGACGGTGCTCCCCAGGTTCACCGGTGGACTCCGCCGCCTCCGTCTGTGCGGCCTCGGGCAACTCACTCCCTCCCCAGCTGAGGCTCTTCATCTCTACAATGGAAATCCTACAGCTGGGGTTGTCGTAAGGAATTCAGGAAATCATCTGTGTGAAGCCCTCAGCACCATACCTGACTTGTAATAAATTAGTTACTATGGCTCTGGAATCCCATACCAAACCCTGGAGGCCAAATGTAATTCAGAGGTCTGAGTGTTTCAGATGCAGAAAGATAATAAGGCGCATATACCAGGTACTGTGCAATCCTCCCAGCAGGGGCTGAGGTTACACCCAGTAACTGGGCATATCAACGTCTCTGCAGTGAAACCTAGGGATATTCACGCAGCGTGGGACATGAGTTCTGGCACCCAGCATATGAAAAAGCTTTGGATTTTCAGAGCTTGGGGATAGTTGGAATTGCAACTAGAGAGCTGTGAACCTCTGTTACTATCATCAGCCTCTCCTGCTTGGAAAGGCCATCATTTTGCTTGGAATAGCCATTTTGGGGTGAGGTGCAAAGGAACAGAGTCAGGCCAGGAGCGAGGCCCGGTGAGCAGCATGGTGGCCACCTATTGCGATGGTCTCGCTGGAACCCTTTGGCCAGCCTCCTTCTGAAGGCTGATTGGACTGCAGCTAAGAAGGCACGCCCTCCCCCCCAATTCCCGACCTTACCCCCACCTCCATCCCCCACCCCCACATTGCAGACCCCTCGCGGCTCCTGCCCTCGCAGCCTCTTTAAGGTTTATGGGAACGTCCTGATTCACCATCCCTGGCAGCTGGCTTCACTTGGCACATCATTCTCATTCCAGGGGTAATGGCTGGGGGAGGCATAGGGCAACAAGCACTATGAAAAGGATAAAAAGCAGCTGAAGTCTCAAGTTTGCAGGAAAGACGCACTTCATAGACCGAGCAGACTTTAACAAGCAAAGAGCAATGGGCCTGGAGCCAAACATAAGTGAATGTGCTTGGGCTGCCGCACATTCCAGGGAACTGGGCCCTGCCTGCGTCATCAGCTCTGAATCCAAAGGGATCAGAGGAAGAGGAGCTGTCAGAGCAGCTGGGGCAGGCAGCGGGGGGAGTGCCTTTGAGTGGTGGTCCCGGCTCAAGACTAGTTATTAGCACAGCTTCCGCCTGGGTTTGAATATGTTCCTTCTACCTACAAGCTGGGTGACCTTGAACAAGTTAGTTCACCCTTCTGTGCCTCGTCTGTAAAGTAGAGATAATAATAATCACACCTACCCATCAGGTTGTGGGGTCACAATGCCTGGCACATAGTCATCACTCAATAAATGTTCATAGTTATTACAGTGGGTGCTCAGTAAACATTTATCAAGTGCTAACCATTAAGTGGCCAAGCCCAGACCTGAACCCACAGCTCCTGCATTCAAGCCCAGTCCTCTGAAAGTCAATGTATATCAAATTTATATGTATAATTTTTAAAGACTTTCTGAGACAGAAGGTAGGAAGGGACTTAAGGGACACCTGTCGAGTGGCGTGTGCCCTCAAATTGGAGCCATTTTCAGCCGAGGAGTAGCAGAGGTGGGGGCTGAGGCTGGACCCTGGAGTTCTGTGGACTTGGGCAGAGCTGGGCTTGGAGGCTCCTCCCCTTCACCCCGCCCCCTTCCAGCTTCCCCCTCAGGGAGGAAGAGGCCAGTGCTGAAGGGAGCATCAGAGATGGTGTCTTTGCTGGGTGGGCTAAACAGGGAGAGCTGGGCCCTGTCCCACGATGCCACAGACAGCTGACATGCTCTGGGCAGGCTGGAAGGGGCCACGCAGGGTCTGTCCATGTTCCTCCCTTTTATGCTGAGCAGGCCTGTTCACATCAGGACACAAAAGTGCTTGCGGGAAGCTTAGGACCTTGCTCACTGACAAGAAGATTCTGGCTTGGTATCTTCAAAGAGAAACCACACACACACACACACACTATCACCACCACCACCACACGCCAGCCAGCTCACCCTTCACTGGGCCGATTTCCCCTTCTCTCCCAGGCAGCCACCCAAGCCTATTTCCTTGCAAAGAAAACCTGCTCTGGGGTGTGGTTCAATTTGCCTCCCTGTAGGGCGCTGGCCAGCTGCCTTCACCTAGACTACCCTCTAAGCCTCATAGCCAAGCGGTGTGAAAATAAAGACCACCCAAATGAGATCACCCAAAGAGAAGCTATTTATTCACAGCTTGTAATAATAACAAGAGAGCACCATCCCTTGCCTTCGACAGAGACTCCAAGGCAGGCAGAAGAGTGCGAAAGCTTTCTAGTGGAAACGGAAGGCTTCAGGGATGCTCTGATTGGAGGCTGTGGGCCTGGGGCAGTTGGAGGTGGTAACTAGAAGTGGGGCCTCCTATGTGACTGGTTAGGGGTGCATATTTGGCTTTCTCTTGTTCATCTTGAGTTGAAAGTGGAGACAAAAACTAGTGAAGCTGGCAGTTACTGACCAAGACTGAGCCATTCTGGACTGATTGTTGCAGATGTTGTGGTTTGAGTTCTTGGGTTAAGAACAAAAAGAAATGTCCTTACCTTAATGAAAGATATTTATTAGAAACTATTTCTTTAAACCTGATAATAATCAGTGGTGAAACACTAGAGGTGTTCCCATTAGAGCAGAAATAAGATGAGGATACTGACTACTGTTGCTATTCAACCTTCCTCCAGAAATCCCAACCCAAGTAATAAGACAACAAAAATAATTGAAGTTGTTCCCTGCTTACACTCACATCTGTGAAACAAAAACGTCAAGTTATCATTATTTGAAAGTATGATTTTCTATTTAAAACCTCCACGATATGCATCGAAATAGCTAGAAAAATCTAATCAAGAACAATATCTCATTCTAAACATCAATAAAAATTATAAAATATCTTTAAAAAGAGTTTACTTGTTGAAGAACACTTTAAAATGTTATTGGAAGTCATTAGAGAATAATGGGTAAACCATGTCCCTGAATGAGAGCACTCAATATTGCAAATGAGTCGGATTTCTACTAATTAACCTATAAATTTATCACAATCCCAAACAAGACATTAATGGGATTTAGAGGACAATGGGAGGGGGGTGGCATGCTTCACTATCATATTAAAGAAAAATGCACCAAAATAGCAAAGATAAGAATTAAAGTACATTAAAAAGATGAGAATTTGCACTGCCAAATAGAAAAATATTAAATAACTTTAATTAAAACAGTGTCATATTGAGGCAGAAACTGAAAAAATGTCAATGCAACAGAACAGGGAATTTAGTATATTGCAAGGGTGTACTTTCAGACCAGCAGAGATAAAGTAAACTATTGAATAATGATGTTGGAACAACTGACTACCTATACAGGGGGAGAATAAAACTTAACTTAGATCCCTACCTCATACCATTCCCAGATATAAATGTTATATGGATTTAGAGTGAATGTAAAAGAAATACTATGTAAATACTAGAATAAAACATAGGAGATTATTTCAATAATCTTGAAATAGAGACAGCCTTTATGAGAAGGCATGAAACTCAGGAGACTTAAAAGATAAACAGATTTGACTACATGGAAATTAAAATTTTCCACTTGGCAAAAGACTCCATAAACAAAGTCAAGAGACAAATGACAGGCTGGAAGAAAATATTTACAACATAATTAACAAGGAGAAGATTGATTACAGTAATTAAATTCAAACATCTCTAACAAATTAACAGGGAAAGAACAAAAATCTCAAAAGAAAAAGACAACTCATAGAAAATAAAAGTGACTAGTACATAATTGGAAAGATAACTTCATCCATGATTAAGAAAATTCAGTTTTAAATGTGGGCTTCCCTATCAGTTGAATAAAAAGTTAGAGAATAGCAAGTGTCGGTGAGGTGTTGGGAAAAGTCAGTCCCCTCCCTCTTTCTACGAGTGTAAATTGGCACCACCGTTTTGGAGGGCCACTTGGTGGTTTTGTCTCAAAATAATAAATGCCTATACATACCCTTTGACACAGAAATCCATTTATGTGACTATAGCTAACAGAAATAATTGCACACTATGCAAAGATGTTCATGGTAGCGTTGTTTATAACTGGTAAAAAATTGGAGCCACCTAATGTTTATCTCAATGGGAACAGCTAAATAAAATCTGACACGTGTCTGCCTTGGAATTCCATGTAGTTGTCAATGAGAATTGGGTCAATGCAGATGGCTGATACAGAAACCAGAAAATATACAAAAGTAAAAAAAGTGAGTTGGCTAACATAGATGATCCTACTTTTATTATAGTTTCATTTGCATGTAGTGTGAGTGTAAATAAAATGCACATACATCTGTAGGCAGTTTCTGGCACTTTCACATTTTATCTTATGTGCATCTACTGTTTATGAATTTGTTTTTGGTGAGCATGTATTACTTGTAAAATTCTTAAGCCAAAAACATAATAAGAATTGAACCTCTAAAGCCGATAAAGACAAAATGCTTAGTGTTTCATTTCTTAGACCTGAGTCTACTTTCAGCCAGAGCAGTTCTGGGCCACACGTACAATTCTGTGAAGACCTTATTAGGCTCATCTTATGTATGTGTGCAGGCAAAAACACATGCCACATATACATACACACATCTACACACACACGCGCACACACACACACACACACACACACACACACATTTGTCCTGCTCTGCATATGCATGTGGGATGCACAATTTTACAGTATATTGAACAGTTCATGGAACATTCTTGAATGTATTTATTGGTGCAAGGAAGTAAATAGCCAGAGCTGAGAAGGCAGAAAGGAATGTGGGGAGATTGAAAACTCCACACCCACAACCACAACCACCTCCACCATCCCAAGCAGGTGACACCCTGTGACATCCATGGTGTCCTGTGGTTTCTGGCTTTTCCCATTTGTCTTCAAGATGGGTAAACTCAAGAAAGTGTGGTCATGAGGATAGGTGCTCATCCGCTTGTGTTGTGAGCACCCCGCCAGCAAGGCAAGAGTCCTGCCTGGGCAGTGGCCGGGGCTCACGTGTCCTCATCCCTGAAGAGAGTCATGTTCTGCTTCCGGATGTGTCCCAGCAGGACCTGTCCTCGCCGCTCCAGGGTCTGGAGAACCTGCTCCAGCCCCTGTCGCCCCCCTTGGCTTTCCCAGAAAACGGGGTCCATCTGCAGTGACTTGAGCATCATGTTCTGTAGACATCCTGATGCGAGAACCTTCACGACAGATTCAGGAAACCTGGACGAAGGTCCCCCAAGCGCCCAAACAGAAAGGGAAAGCAAGAGTGATCTCAGAGAGCTCCAGTGAAAGACGAAGCCAGATGGCCAGAACTTACACGTCTAGGAACCCTGGCAGAGTCAGACTGCAGGGTCCCCTGGGCCACTTCCGCCGACTAGTAAGCAGGGGCCCTCCCACTAGTAAGCAGGGGCCCTCCCACCCGCTTGGCTGTGAAAGCAGGCGGGGGATAAAACCTTCGGATCGGTCCCATCCCATAGAGAAGCCGGGCACGTCAACACTGCTTCCCCTGGTGGAATGCCTGCTGCTCTGCTTGGCAGATGCCAGAAAGAGCCTTAGGAAGGCGGAGCTGCCTGCCACAGGTGAGCAGGGAAGGCAGGTTGCCAGGCTAGCTCCCCCAGCTGGGGCACGGGAAAGGCTGGCCTGCCCCGACCCTGGCAGGGCAGCTCGTGTTCTATGGGACCAGGCGGCACTCTGGGTATTTGAGGCGGAGGCGCTCCATCCAGGCGTTGGAGGGCCTGCTGACTGTCTCTCCACTCAGCTTTCCCAGAGTTCCCCACCCCCTCCTGAGGCTCGGATCCAACAGCTTTGGTCTGATGGACGGCGGACTTCTCAGAAGCCCCGGGTTAAGGGCCCATGGTCTACAGCAGGACCATCAAGCCTCAGTCCCCCCTCCCCTGTTGACTCTCACCCGTCTATGCCCTCCAGCAGCCGAAAGTTCAGCCTGTCCTCAGGGTGCTGAAGGTTGCCAGCATTATCGATGTAGACCAGGTGAGAGGGATCACTGCTCCGGACCTCAGGGAAGAAAATGGACAGAGACAGAGGTGAGTAAGGATGCAGCCTAGCTGGTGCCCATGGACTCCGTCAGGGTGCAAGGGTTTGGGAGGGCCTGCGCTGTCAGTCCCACCCTGTGACTTGCCCAGGAGGTCCCCAGGCGCTGAGCAGTCAGCTCACTCTAAGCTGGCATTATGCTCAGTGCTTCCAGGCACCACATCAATGAACCCTCCCAGCAACCTTAGAAGGGGGCCGCTTAGAAGTGTGAGCCCCATTTTACAGAAACAGAGGCACGAAAAGTTAAGTAATTTGCACAAGGTCCCACTGCACTGGTGGGCAAAGGGGTGAGGAGCACGGGTGGGCACCTGCAGGGGCAGAGCTAAACTGCCCAGCAGGGCTGTGGCTGGAGGATGCATCACACACGGATGCTCACCCCCCCACCCCCATGCACCTGGGTGTTCCCCTGAGCATCGCTGAGAACACACGATACCCTTCATCCTCAGGGAGCGCTGCCCATACTCCATCTTCGCGGGAGAAGAGTTCAGCGTCTCCTAAACCTCTTCAAAACTAAAATCTGCAGCAGGGAACTCTTTTAGCACCTTCAAATGATGGTGTGGTTGGGGATGACAGGCCATCTCTTCCGGGCTCCTCCTCCCACCCCCATGCACACACCCCTTTCTTATGCATTCTCCAAGATTCCATGGTGATTTCCCATAATTCTCTGTAGTGACCTTGGCTTAAATTGTGAACTTTGGTCTCCAGGACCCCAGCTTCCCGGCGCTCTGCCTCTTCTCCCTCATCAGGCATCCATTTCTTGAACCCTGATGATTCCTCCCTCTGCAATCTGCAGTCCTAAGGAATGGCTGCCCACCAGGGGTAAATGGCGGCTAGAAACGCCTCACCTTGTACCAGGGAAGAGGAGAGATGGCCCTGGGGGGCAGGGGACGGAGAATTCCCACCACCCAGCAGCTCCACCAGGGCTGGTGTGGCCTGCCTGAAGCTCAGCTCGAGGCACCATGCTGATGATTACCCACCAAAGCACCTGGCCAAGTGACGATGGGCAGACACGAGGCCTCACTGGGGGAGGAGCGAGAGGTCTCACTGGGGGAGGAGCGAGAGAAACTCTCCCCAGGTGGCACCTTGCTCCTTGTGCAGGAGTGGCTATCCTGCCACGCCATCCCCTCTCTCTGATGGCCTCAGCACATCACTTCCCACCCTGGGCTCTGGTTTTAACAGGAGGCAGCACAGTGTTTCTCTGATCAGCACCAGCCTTGGGAGCCATCGGGGTCCTAGGCCCTGTCGTGCCACCAACCAGCCATGTGGCCTTGGAAACACCCTTCCTGGCTCAAGTCATAATTTCCACATTGACTGGCACAAGGAGGATGTCCGACTAGACACAGTTCTCACACTCTGTGTCCAGAAGCCCTAGCGTTACCCTGACATCCCTCGGGGACAGTGGAGTGGGTGAAAACGGCTCCATCTCCACCCACACCCACATCAACCATATTCTCAAAGCTCCACGTCTGTCAGTTTCATATTATTCAAACAAAGGGTTCTGCTGCTGAAAAGGACAGGACCGGGAACCCCCAGCCTGACGGGGTCTCTGAAACACACTAACAGCATCTTCTGAAGGAGACGGGAGGACTGGAGTCTGGGTGACCAGGGGACTTACCAGGATGTGGACCAACCGCAGCTCTCCGGGGTTCCCGCACTTCTCCCGGAGCCCCTCTTCCACACAGGGCTCTGAGGGCTCCGGCTCAAAGCCACAGCAGTAGCGATCCAGGCGGTCATGGACCTGTGGGGACACCATCCTCTGAGGGCGTGGGGACAGTGCCTGCCTCCTCCAGGCCCAGCATCAGGCCACTGGCCCCCAGTCACGTGCTCAGCGGCCCTGCTGCTTGTAATGGCTGGTGCCCTGCCCCTCTGGCCAGCCGACCCTGCACACCAGAGCTGTTTGCTCACGCCTCAGGCCAACATGGATTTCCAGCTAACGCCCACTGCTGCATCTACAGCGCTGCTCCTGCCCTCGGGGCCGAGGCCACTGGGCCTCTGGACGCTGGTCGTCCGTCTCCCTGGGGAGACCCACACATGACCACTGTTTCTTTGAGCAGCAAATGCTCCATCAGGGTGTCCTCCCTTTTTTGGAAGTGAAAGTCCTTTGATGAGCGTCTAGACAGCTCCCGAGTGGACGGCCCTTCCACCTGCAGCAGGAAAGAATCCAAGTCCAAGTGGGGAGGGAGGCGCGCACTCCCCGTACGGGCTCATTTCACACTGGAAGCCTCAAGTGGGGATTCTCAGGTGCTGTGTGGGGTCTGGTCTGCAGAGCTGTGCCTTGCGTATAGATGACACACAGCGGTGTTTTAGAGTGCATGAGAGGATTCTCATAACAACACTTCCCACTCACCTGCTTTCAGCAGCTTTCTTCAGGAGGAAAGCGTTACAGGCAGCAGGTCAGGAATTAGGGAGAAATGTGACTCCACCTCAGCCCTGACCTCCAGGGGATGTTATCTGCTGTGCACATGATGGACAGAGGGCCAGAAAGGACCATCTTAAAAGCAGAGCTGGCAGAGTCCCCTGTGGTAGAAGACGGAGGGTCTCACTGCGGGAGAAAGCTAGGGAAGGGATAGGCGTCGAAGGGGGAAGGTGGTTTGGAAAAGCTGGGATGTGCTAGGAAGTAGAGGAGAGACAGAGGTGAGGGCTGGGGACAGCAGGGCGTCACTGTCACTTACAGGGTGGGCGAGGTGGAGAAGATGCACCCTTTTCCCTCTCAGGAAGGAAACTTGGTTTGATACAATACCTTGATGAGTGCTTACAGCAGAAGGTGAGATCTCAAGAGGTCTGGGTGTGGGAGGACTTGCTTTGTATGGGACAAGAGGAAAAAATCCATTTGTTGCTGTGGAAGGAGGAGGAGAGAGGTGAAGCAGGGAGCAGCAAGAGGCTGAGGGTCTGAGAGGTGCCCTCTGTGGCTCCCCACTCCCCCTCCATTCCCCCAGTGAAGATGGTGGTTGTGGCGGAAGGGGCCGAGCTCTGAGTTCAGGCTTTGGCGTGGGGCAAATCAAGGCAGTACTCCTGGTGTGGGAAACAGGAGTAGGCCAATTCCTAAGATGGCTCCTAGGAGAGCTTCACGGGTTGTGGAACCAAGGGTTTGAATCATCTCCTTAAATCTGCAGTTAAAACTGGTGGCTGAGTCACAGTAAAGGGAGGTCTGGGGGACCCCTGGGCTCTACCAGTCAGGATGGTGAATCGGCTGCCTAACTCTCAGGACGCAAAATGTACTCGGTTCCTGAAAGAGTCCTGTGTGCGGAACACCAGGATGGAGACACAGGTCCTGCCTTTGCAGAATGGCGAGTCTGCATTGGGAAGCCTGGGAACAGCACTGGAGAGGAAGGCGCCAGCCTAGGGTCCTAGAAACCAGCTCCAGGTAACACACTCTGGCTGGGGTAACTGTCCAAACCAAGCTAAAGGAGACAGAGCCAGGGTGAAGGGGAGCGAAAGTCGGGGACAGGGATGCAGCATGCAGGAAACCAGATGGCACGCACAGAAAGGGAGGACCCACTCCCTCTCTCAGTCCTCAGGACTCGGGAGTGTCCTGTGACTCCCAGCTCTGGCAGGATCTTGGGACAGCCCCTCCCACTGATGATGCAGAACAGCCAGGGGCTTCCCCGGGGCAAATACGGCAGTCGTTTTCATCCAATAAAGCCGTGACACAGTGTCTGTCCCTCGGAGATGACCATGATGTTGTAATACAATAAGAAATACACTTGGCTTCAGTCCACCTTCCTGGCACAGAGCTCCTACTAAACCCTTGGTATTTTCTGAGTGATAGCAGCGTCTTTTGTTATTTATAATGAGCCCTTTTGACCACACCTAAGTTTATGCTAAAGAGGTGATTCAGGGGAGCCCCAAGATAGCTTCAGGAAGCAGACTAGTCCCCAGAAAGACAAGTGAATAAAGGGTGGGAAATTTTGGCCCCACCCTCCAACCTCCTGGAAGGGTAGGAGAGCTGGAGATCAGGTTATAAAAACTCTTGAACCATGAGATTTGGAGACCTTCCAGGTTAATGAACATGTCCACATGCCAGGAGGGTTGTACGCCCCAACTCCATGGGGACAGAAGCTCCTGTGCTTGGGATCCTTCCAGACCTCACCCTGTGTACCTCTCCATTTGGCTGTTCATTTGTAACCTTTATCATAAACCGGTAAACTTAAGCAAAGTGTTTTCCTAAGTTCTGTGAGCTGTTCGAGCAAATTATCGAACTTGAGGAGGGAATCCTGAGGACCCCCAATTTATAGGCAATTGGTCAGAAGAACAGTTAGCCAAGGATGTGCAACTGGCATCTGAAGTGGGGAAAGTCTTGTGGGACTGAGCCCGTTAACCTGTGCGATCTGACGCTTACTACAGGGAGAGAGCATCAGAATTGAATTGGGTTGTTGGAGAATTGGTTAGTGTCAGAAGACAGCATCACTCAGATGACACCACCAGCATCACTGCTGTCTCTATCCCATTCACACCTCTCTGCAGCCTTGCAAGAGAAACCAGCTTAGGGTTTGGGTGAATAGACCGGCTGATGGGGTTTGAGGAGAGGGGTTGAGAAGAACTAGATTTTATCTAAAAAGATATCTGTAGATCACTCTAAATTTTAGACATCAACACAAAAATCGGCAGCCACCACAGCAAAGTGGGTTCCCACCAAGAAAGCTAGGAATGAGCCCCCATTAGGAGGCCAACAAGAGTCGCCACTTTAACACATTAGAGAGGGGAATTCTGTGATCTCCCTGGATATTCAAAAGGCCTTTGATAACATTTTATATCCATTCCTGACAATAAACATTCTCAATAAAGCAGGAATAATGAATAGTGCTTCGTCATATTTCAGCCAAAAGCCAGCATGATGCTTAATGGCAAGACACTAGAAATTGTCCCAAGTCTACAGAAACAAGTCAACATCCATCATGCTATTAATATTTACCATTGCTCTGGAGGCACCAGCAATGTAGTGAGGTAAGAGAGAGAAAGACGAGGCAAGGAGAAGAGGCTGCATTCACTACGGATGAAATGATCACGGCCTTGCAAAACCCAGAACAAACCAAGCAACCGTTGAAGCAATACGAAGTTAGCAGATGGCCAGTAACCAAACTAATATATAGAAATAATACCTTTCACACAGACCAAGTGCTCCCGGCCAGGACATAAAATGGAAAGAAAGATCCCATTTGCAATGGCCACGGAAGATGAAATATTCAGGAATAATAACCCAACATGAAAGTGAGGATCCGGCTAAAGAAAACATCAAGATGATCTGAGGAACATGAATAAATGGGGAGACATATTCTATTCTTGGCTACAGGACTCTATATTTTAGGATATAAATTCTCTCTCTTAGTCCACGCAAATTTAATTTGATTTCAATAAATTCCCAAAAGGACTTAGGAGGGAAAAGGAAGTAACAAGCATTTCACATGAGAATAGTATGCAAGAATATCAGGAAAATTCTAAAAAAGAGCAATGAGAAAACCCAAGCCCTACTAGTTATTAACATAAAATATAAAGCGCAATAGTTAAAACAGTGTGATTCTGGCATATAAATAGACCCTTCTCTGGAACAGAATGGAGTCCAGAAATAGACTTATGTACATATGGAAATTGACTATATGGTTAAGACAACATTTCAGACTGGGGAAAAGATTAATTATTCAGTGAATGCTGCTGGGACATTTGGGTTGCCATCTGAAAAAAATAAAAATCTTTGTTTAGCCTCTTTTCTATTAATTCCGAATAACTTCCAGATGGATCAAAGACATAACAAAACACATGGGAGAATTTTTAAAATAACCCCGAATTGGGGAATGGCCTTTGAAAACATGATATACTAACCTACAAGTCACAGAAGAAAAGCTTGATAATTTTAACAACGTAAAAATTTGTTAAATTTCTGCATAGCAAAAAGACTATAAATAAAGCTTAATGACAATTGAACCTGAGAGAAATATTACAATACAATGAAAACAAAAGGGTTGTAGGGTAGTGCAGCGCAGGGAATAATTGCCTGAGCGTGAACGCCCCCTGCAGTGTTTGCGCCTGGGGCCCTCTCTTGACTCATAAATTCGTTTTCTTTTATGTATAACAAATCACCAGGAGCTTAGTGGCTTCAAAGAACACACGTATCATCTCACAGTGTGTGTGGGGGGGTCAGGAGTCCTTCACATTTTTGCCGCGTTCTATGCTCAGGGTCTCACAGGCTAAACTCAAGGTGGAGGCCAGGCCCACCTCTTATTTGTAGCCTGGGGTCATCTCCTAAACTCATTTGGATTGCGGGCAGAAACCATTCCTCCAAGTTATAGGATTAGGTCCCCGGGAATCTGAGTCCTCCCAGAAGCCTCCCTCACCCACAAGCAGTTCGTAGTAAGGCTGTTTACTTTCTTTCTGAGGCGGGAAAATCTCTCAGGTGCTTCATCTTCTTTGAAGGACTCTTCTGGTCCTTCACGCCCACCCAGGATGACCTCCCTTTTAATTAACTCAAAGTGAAGTGATTATAACCTCCTCATTGGAGTGATAGTGCATCATATTCACAAGTCTTGCCCACACTCAAGAAAGGGGGTTAATACTGGCAGAGGGTGGGTGGTGGGTGGGAGTGATCTTGGGGACCATCTTAGAAGTCTGCCTATCATACCTACCCCTAATCTAGGCCCCGCTTTTAAACATATGAAAGAGGCTCAATGTCACCCTTCAAACAACCCTTGTCCGGGCAGGTTGTTTTTCCATCCTTGGCGGCACCATCTGTGAGACAGGGAGGAGCATCATAGCACTCATCTCTTGGGACTTAGATGAGTTCACATGTGGTTTGTATCAGACATTGCACTTCATCAATGGTAGCTATTATTACAGTTCAGGCCTGTGGTTGGAAGCCTGAGAGGTTGACATTGGTCAAGATCTGGGCTCCTCTCTAACTGATGAAACACCCGATGCCCCAGGTAGACCAAGCCAGAGGAGACACTCATGAACTGGAGCCATAGGTTTGGACTCAAAATAGGGAATATACAATGACTGAAATGGGCTCCTTGGAAAGGAAATGGGCCAGTCTCATCCAGAAGAAACCAGTTCGCTGGAACCTGGAAACACTGGCCTGCTGAAACTTGTTTTTCACCTCACATCATTATAAGTAGCAGATGCTGTTTGTACCCCACCCATATCCGCTTGGCGCTCACGATTCCTGTCCATACCAATGGCGTTCCACACGTGCCTGTGGCTCTCTGCCTTGGCTCCTTTCTGGGTGCAAGAACATGCTTGCCTGGCTCACGCATGGCCAGGCTGGCACATGGGACGGGAGGTCCACGCCCTCAGGAGCTGTCTCAACCAATGATGGTTCAGAGTTGGTGGGTAAATAGCCCAGCCTCTTTGGCCCCTAGGTGGGACAACTTTGAGTCATGTCCTATATGCTCCCCCAAAGGTCTCAGCAGGATTGAGCCCCCAGATGCCCACAGCAGTGTCTGGGCACCGTATGGAGTATATGTGGGTGTGTGGTTCACGTGAATGGTGTGCGTGCGTGTGTGTGTTTGGCTGTGGCACATGTGGGCATATATGGTTCCTGTATAAGGAAGGGTACGATGTGTCTGTTTGGGATGTGTGTGATTAATTTGATTGCTGCCCAATATTTTCTCCTCTCCCCCTTCCACTCTGGGCAGAGTGTGCGTCCCCTCCCTGACACTGGGCTTGGCCATTGACCACCGGCCAGAGGAATATTAGTAGAAGTGGCATCGGAAGAGGCCTTAAATGTGCTCCTGCAGTTTGGTTGAGCTCTTGAGCTTCCTCCACTCCCCACGAGGAGAATCTGCCCCGGATGGTACCGCCTGGGTTCCAGAATGAGAAGTGAACAGCAGACCCAAGCCCACCCTCAGCTGGGAGCCAAGCTCAGTAACACCCAACCAACCCACAGGCCCTGGAGCAAGGAAAACAGAGCTGGTGTTTTAAGCCAGTGAGTTTGGGGCAGGTTTGTTACGCAGCATTATATCCATAATCACTAATACACTATGTGGGCTTTGCAAAGCACAGGGCGTGATTTGTGGGGGGTAAGGGATGTGTAAGTGTGCAGCGCTCGTGGGTTTTGTGTCCGGGTAAATGGTATGCTATGAAACACAAACACACAGAGACAAGGCTTTATACTGGATAAAATAAAACAAAGGAGCAAGCACACCGCAGAGTGGGCTGTGTGTGGAGCTTGTACCCAGCTCCCGGTCAGAAGGTACCTCAGCTTCCTGTGCTTGGAAACCCACAGCCCCGCCTCTCTCCAACTTGCCAGTGGTTTCGAGGAAGGCGGCGTCAGCCAGACAGGGATGTTTGACTTGACCGCTGTTCAGCAGACCAGGGAAGAGGTGGCACGGGGCCAGCCGAGTCACGTCTGACCACACACCCAACCTGTGTGTGCTTTGGCTGCTGAGACTTCTGTCCCCACAGCAGACCTTGGCAGCTGAGGAAGGGTCCCACACAGCAACTCCACGAAATGGACAGAGGGGCTCTGTGTGGAGCAGAAAGCTGCTGTGTGCACATCAGCTGGACTGGGGCTTGGCAAGGAGGTGCCTCCGATCTCAAGGCCCCAGGGCATCCCTGCAAAGTCCCTTTTCCTGCCCTCAGTCATGGCCAGGTTAACAGTGACTCTGTGATTGAGGGTGTGAGCTCTGGAGTCAGACCATCCAGGCTGCCTCTCTGCTCCACCAGCTGTGACCTTGGCCAAGGAACTTCACCTCTCTGGGCCTCAATTTCTCAACTTTCAAATAGGGGTAAGTGTGAGAGCTCACTTGTAAGTGTGCCACGAACTGGATGAGGTCGTTCCTGTAAAGGGTTGGGCATAGTGCCTGCTTCTTATTAGGTGTGTGCCACCCACCAGGGCACTGTATTACAAACGATCTCATGTGCAGACACCACACAAGGTCAGTGTTATCATCTGGACCAACCTCGAGACAAGGATTCAAGCAAAAGCAGTTTGTCTGTGAGCTAATCCAAAACCATGAGCAGAGGGAGGGAGTGAGAAGGGCCAGCCATGACACTGGGGGGACCTGGGGCTCGATCCTGGTAGGGAACTCAGGGAGATGTGTAGCACACGCCCTGGCGAGTGACCCAGCCAGGGAACTGAGCTTTACACACCCAGAAAGAGGTGTCGCTCCTGGAGGGGGCATGGCCAGCCTTCCCTGTTTGCCCAGGACCCACCAGATTCGGCATTGGAAGTCCTGTGGTCTGGGAAACCCCTCCGTCCCAACCTGGACAATTGGTCACACTGTCTGGAGGGCTTTAATTCCTCAGCTCCCAGCCTGTCACACGCTGGGCAGCGTGGGCTCCAGGCAGGTACTAGTCTGGAGCTACATGTGCTAAAATGATCAGGCCCGAGGGACACCCAGTCCCATTTTCGAGGTGAGAAAGGGAAGCTCAGAGAGAGGAAAGAATCTGCTCAGTGTCACACAGCAAGAAGTGGCCTGGGGAGGGGGGGTTCAAATCCCGGTCCGGCTAATGGCAAAGCCAATGCCGACCACCAGGCTGCATTCTCCTCCTTCCACAAAGCAGCCATGGAGATACAGACTGGAGGGGCTGGAAATACCGCGGGGGAGCAGCCAGTCCAGTGACTGGAGACGAACGCCTATAGGCAGACAAGTACCGTTCAGAGGTTTGGGAGTGGGACAGCAGGCGGGTGTCAGGCAGTAAGGAGAGCGTGGCAGCCTCTGAAGGGGCTGCGGCCACTCATGAGCTAATATGAGCTATTCCAGCATACCATTGGGTAGGTAGACACAGAGGCAGAGAAGTAACAAAACCAGGTGCTTGCTGGTCCAAAGACGAGGAGTGGGGGGAGTCACCATCCATCCTCAGGTGGGCAATTCCTGTGTCCCGATTCACCCTGCATCCCCTACTTCTGCTGTTCTCCAGCCCAGCCCCACCCCACATACCTGCAGCAGGAAGTCGAAGAGTGCCAGGCGTGCCCACTCGGCGTGGTGGATGCCCAGGCATTGGGCCTGGCCTGGCCGGCTACAGCCTCGTGCCAGCAAGGCCTGGTACTGCAGCCAGCCCAAGGCCAGCGAGTTCTGGTCGTCGTCTGGGTCACCCAGGTGCTGAACGTCGGGCGCCCACCAGATGACAGGCCTCGCGCCACCGTCCGTGTAGCGGTAGGGCAGCAGGGGGCTGTGGAAGCGCCGGGCCACAGCAGGCAGGCTCCGGTGCAGCCCCAGCACTCGGTCCACGTGAAAGGACAAGACCTCGGACAGGTCCCCAGGCCTCTTGATCAGGCCACAGAGCCCCTGGGAGCAGAGTTGGCTGAGTCCAGGAGACAGGTCCTGAAGGGTACGCTCGGTGGAGAAGCCGACCTGTAGCACCTGCCCGTGGCCGGGGACCCTGGCTTTGCCCACCACCTCCCCCTGGGCCAAGAGCCGGAGGGCCTGCACATCGTGCTCTGTGAGCCATGGGGGCACCTGTCCGCCAGTCCTCAAGCCAGTCGGCCGCGCAGGTGTCTCAGAGGCACACCAGATGGATCCTTGCAGCTCCCCAACAGAGCCAGGCCACCGCCGAGTCTCCGTGCCCGGGGTGGGACCCCCTGCTTGTCGCGCACCAGTCAAGGCTCTGTTCCCAGCTCCTGGCACTTCCACTGGGTGGGTTTGGGGGGATGGTCCAGCAGTAGCTCTCCACTGCCCTGCGAGGGGGCCAACCAGGATGCCCGTCTCACTCTGTGCCTCCCGGGTGAGCCCATCATGCCAGGCGGGGCCTAGGCGTTTGTCTCCTGGACCCTTGACCTCATCCTTGCTCAGGAGCACAAGACGCTGGGTACCGAGTCTCGACTCTCCTAGAGATCCCAAAGTAATGTCCCTCCTGACCCTCCCTGGGCTCCTGCTGTCCACTCCCGGGGACTGCCTGCTGCTGTCCACTCTTCCTCTGGGGCCTTGCTCCTCAGCACACACCAGGCTGGAATTCCTGGGCAGGGCCCAGCCTCTCCAGAACCGCAGCTTTCTTGCCAGCTGCCTCCGGCGGGAGCTCAGAGCCTGTGGGCTGTGAGGGGCAGGGGTGCCGGTTACCCGCTGGGGCTCCGTGGTGTCTGGATGCTGTGCAGGGAAATGGGTGACAGCCACCACAGACAGAGTCATTAAGAGGCAAAATGCCACCACCATCCGCCTCTTGCCACGCAGCTGTCTCCAGAGCCCAAACGCCTGGGGGGTGGGGTAGAAACAGAAAGTTTGAGACCTGAGCAAAACGTCAGCCCCAACCCACAAAACAATGTGGATGGTGAAGAAGGCTTATCTGGATGCCTACAAAGGGAAAAGAGCAGAGCTGGGGTGCGGTCACACCCAGCTGCGTTTAAGAGAGGAATGGGCACTGCAGCCGAAGCTCCCCTGCATCAAAGCTTAGCTTGCTCACCTTCCAGGGTAGCCTTTGCTGATGCATGCGGGTAGACGTGGGGCTCCCCTCTGAATAACCCGCCATACAACACTGATCACCAAGCACCAGAAGAGCCTCTTCCACATCTGACCCACCGCCGAGCGCTGGCCCTCTCTTTTCCTCTCCACGTGAGTCCCCGGGCCACTCCGGCAGGCCTCTAGTTGTCTCCCACAAACCTGCTCTCCCCTTTTCCAGGGCACACGGCTGCCCAGGTACGGATGGCTGTGCCCAGACTGCCTTGCAGCCAGGGGCGGCCACGTGACTAAGTCCTTGCCCAGGTCAGGAGTCAGCCATTGTGGCCTGCCCCACTCGCTCACAAGGAAGCTGGCTGCCCACCCTTTGTCTCTTGTCACAGATGTGGCAGCACCAGCTCTGCCCGTGTCGGCAAGGACCCACCCTGGGGCAGTGATTTTTCAACAAGTGGCTCCTGAAACCAACATCATCAGTATCACCTGGGAACTTGTCAGAAAGGCAAAGTCTCAGCACCACCCGCCCTCCCAACCACTCAGTCAGGAAATGGGCTGAGCGGCCTGAGTTTTACCAAGTTCTCCGGGTGGTGCTGACGTTTGGGCCCCGTGCAGCCACCAGAGGGAAGGAGCTGGGGAACCTGCATGACCACAGGAGAGCAGAGCTGCCAAGAGCCATTTGAGCCCCTGTGTTTTGGACTCAAGACTCGTTTCCAGTCCTTACACATGGTAATTAGTTTAGCATTAAGGAGGTGACTGCTCCCATCATTGCTTCGTTGACACAACAATATGCCCTGAGGCTTTTCCATGTCTGTCTTCTTCAATCAAGTTACTGAACAGCTGCATAATAGTTCACACGGAAATACGCCGTAATGGCTTTGCCCTTTCCTCCACAGGAAGGATAGTCTGATCATTTCCAATTTTTATTATAACGAACAACGCTGCACTAAACATCCAGCTCCAGGGAAAACTGGGAGGATTTCTATAGAGGAGACCCCACGAGATGAAGTCGTTGGGTCCCATTCTTTCTTGTTGATCATCGTCTATCAGTTGGCATCTCCTTTGATCCTCACAAGAACGTAGGGAAACGGGAATTATTATCATTCCTATTTTACAGATGAGAAACCAAAGGCCCAGAGTGCCCAGATTTGCCCAGGCTCACACTGCCGGCAAGAATGCTAATATTTCGAATTCAAACCAAAAGGAGAAATGGCCATGGACAAAGAGTCTGCCTGGATTCTTTTCCCCGTCTACAAAGAAAAATAGGTTTTCAAGTTGGATTCACTGTCTGTGTTCTCCAACTTTTGGAAACCACGAGGGAGAAATAAATCATCTTTTTAAAATGTCTCCAGAAGACCGAAGGATTTGATCCCTCTGTCGGCCTTACTTGGCTTCAGACAACCTGGGGAAAGTTGGCAATTGTGCAGTTGTGCAGAGAGAGAGGTTCAAAACGACCAGGAGCCGATGTCCCCACAGGGCCACCCAAGTGAAGCTCTGGGAAAAGAAAGGCAGCTTTGATCAAACTGAAAAAACATCCTCTGAAGAGAAATATTCAGCTGAATAATAAAGAGTACATTAGAGAAAGGAGAAAGGGGGATGACGCATCATATACTAGAAAGTTTGCTGGTGGAACCCAACTGACCCCATGGCTGCACAGCTGCCAGCTGAACCCGCCCCCACTTCCCCGATTGCCCATCTGAAGTATACACATGGTCTTTTCTGCCCTGTGATGATGGTGGCAGGAGGAAAAGGGGAACGGTATGTGACCGTCCCTGTCTGGCTCTACCATGGGTCTATTTCTCTTTCTTCCTCAAATCCCCGCCTCCCACCCTTTCACCAAGATTCCCCCTTAATTCCTTAGAGAAGATGCCCCCTAGCCCAGCAGTCACATCCACCCACAGCTGCAGAGGATGAGGAGTGAAAAAAGAGTAGTGGAAAAGCATGTGGCCTGGGCTTTGGGCTTCTAGACCAGCATTTGCCCTTCTGAGCTCTTACAATGGGCAAGGTACACAACCTCTCTGCCCCATTTCCTCAGTTACAAAACGGGGGCGAGTGAGACCATGCCTCCCTAAGGACTGACGTGGGAGATACATGCGTCGAGATAATCAAGGGCCCACTACGTGGTTTGGTACGTTTAAATGAGTGGTGGGTGGGCTCAGGGTTTTTCTGTCCCTACCTTCTGAGCCCCCTCTACCTTTCTGGAATCTGAAAAATACCCACCCCACCCCACCCCTTCCTGAATTTTGGCACATTGTAATGTCAGAGTAAAAAAAAAGGGGGGGGGATATTTGGGAGCACAGCTCAAGGCAGAGGCAGAAAAAGAAACTCTTTCATCATAAAAACACAAGTGTAAGCCAGGAGGAGGCCACGTTGGCTGTGAGAAAAGTCTCATCCTGCAGAGGCTCCCTCCAAAGATATCCAGGATGAAACAGGAAGGAATTGCTGGGCTTAAAGGCATGCAGGAAGGAGAGGAGAGAACCGGGTGGGAGCCAGGAGGGGAAAATGTGGCGGGGCTAATAGGGAAAGACGGATACTGACCAGAGTGGGGTCTGGGCTCCCTAGCAACTGTGGGAAGGTTGGAGATCAGTAGACAGCCCACCCCTCTAAGAAGCTGGAGGGCTGTGTTGGGCTGGGGACAGGAGCCACCACCCAACTCCTTGTCCTTGCCCCATACTGGGTGGAAGACAAAGACAGAGTCATTGGTAGCATTTGCTCACAGTTCTTTCTTCCTCCTCACCTGGCCATGGTTTCACTGAAGATAGAGTACACTTGCCCGCCCACTGTCCTTGACCTTGGCAATATGACTGGCTTTTGCCAAGAGAATGTGAGTGGACATAACACATGCCCTGTCCAGTGGGGGCTTTAAATGTGCTTGTGTGGTTTGACTTGTCTCCTTGCCAACTTGTCTTCCACCATGAGAGGAGCATACCCTCGGTGAGGCGCCTGGAGCAGACCTGAACCCAACCCCCAGGCCGGAGTCAACCCAACCACACCCCTGGGTCCAGCCTTCCCACAGCCCTGCAACCAGGATCAAGGCGGGTGTTGCTGTAAGCCACTGAGATGGTGAGGCTACTTGCGAGGCAGCATTACCACAGCAAAACCCAGCTAATACAGACCCTTGGGTGATTTCTGTTGGGCGCAATGTGTGCCCTTGGTCAGATAACCATATGGCAATTTAATTGTATGGTAATGGACGGTCACTAGATTTACAGTCGTGAACACTGGGTGGCGTATACAAATATCGAATTATAAGGTTGTATACCTGAGAAAAAAACAATTAGGCAGTTTGGTAATGAAGTGTAGCACCTTTCCCTTGACTGATAAGGGCATCGTGCTGTCACTACAGATGGGGCTCAGGCTGCCATGACCGAGGACCTGGCCACAGGTAAACCCCACCAACCAGTTTCCCCCATAAGAGGGGCAAGTGGCAAGGAGAGCCTCCTGTCAAATAGAGAAGTTTTTTGAAAAGGACTTTAAAAAAAAAAAATTCCAACAAATGCAGCAGGCCTTTGCACAGACAGTCTGAGAAACAAACTTGGAGGAAAGGACTCAGTTACAGCGTGCGTGCGCTGCAACAGCCAGCAGGAGACTTCTTCTCATTTCTAAAGGGTCACAAGGAAAGGATGCTCTTCGGCTTTGGGGAAATCCGGTCAGGATTTTGCCTCACTTTGGGGCACCAGCTCTCCGCTCCCCGGACCGCCTCCCAGCACGCCCTGCTCTGAATCCTGACACATGCCGGGCTTAACGCCATCATTCCCACAGCAGAGGAACTGATGGATGGCAAAGCCACTGTTTTCAACTTCCAGTTGTCAAAAAAAGATGACAAAACCGGGTCCTCCACTAAACCGCCATGGATGAGGCATAACATGCCAGGCAGGGAAGGTGGAGAGAAGAGAGAGATCCTACGTGCCTCTTCCCATGGAAACAGACAAAATCACAAAGCAACTGTCAAGTGTTCCTTGGTGGGAGTTGTCTGGGTGCGGGAAGGAGCAGAGGAAAGCCATGTGACGATGACGATGACAACGACGACGTGAGTTTGGCTCTGGTTCTGGAGTCGTCACTCAAAACATCCCCTGACCTCTGCCCTCTTCTAAACACCCCCACTGGCTGAGCACTGATTTGTCACTACTCAGCCTCTGAGTGAGACTAACAGAAATGTCGAGATTTGGAGTTCCTCTTCCATTTTTTAAAGATCAGTTAAAATAATTTTCATAACGAAACCATGGGCGGTGTGAGAGGGAATCCATGAGCATACTGTCAGAGGGCTGAATTGGAACCACATGTCAGTCCTGTGAGTAAGGCTGCGGGCTAGACCTGGTCAAACCCTGCCTTCCCTTGGCTGAACCCAGGGTCAGGCCCCAGGCAGGGGGAGCTGGGCTGGCACAGGGCTCTGGGGGCGAAGGCGACAGGCACAGCCCGTGAGAACCTCCAGGCACATGACGTTCCCCTCCTAGTCAGATCTGCGAGGTTCTGGGGGGCTGGAGCTGTCTGCTCCACGCTGGGCAGGGCCCCAGGCTGCCTGTCTCCTAAGCCACCACCGGGCCAGGCTCCCTTACTCAGCACATTGGAGAGCTGTGATTTTCCTTCCACATCGGCAGCTTCAAGACAAGGAAGGACTTCTGTCCCTGTAATTTCTGGCCTGGCCAATATCCAGGAAAAAGAAAAAACAAAAAACAAAGGAATGATAACCAACATGTATTCAGTGTTCACTGGGGCTGTTTGAACCACTTCTATTAACTCATTTAATCTGTGTGCCGGTCTTACAAGGTAAGTATTAGTATTATTATCCCATGTTACAGGTGAGGAAAACAAGGCCCAGTGAATCAGGGTGGCCCAAAACTCCCAGAGCTAGCATGGGCGGCACCAGGACAGGACCCCAGGCAGTCTGGCTCCAGAGCTGGTGACCTAATCGCTGTGCCACCCTGGGAAGGGGCTGCCACCCACAGCGCCTGCTCCCGTGCTGATTCCGAAAGGCTGCCCTGGGTCTTAGGGGTGGGCCCTGCTCAAAAAGGAGGTTTACCCTCTGTGGGACTCGTCAGATCATCTGTAAAATAAGGCTTGAGTAACATGTGGGTAGGTGGCAGCCTGTCTGCGCTGGGGCAAATTGAGGGAAAACAAAAACGTTTTCAGGCTACATTTATTTTCCTTCCAAAATGAAAATAACTTTATTATGTCCCGTGTCCTTCTTTATGAAATAGAAGAATATCAATGAGAAAATTGCCCCACTCAAATCTTAAGAGGTAACATCAAAAGCAGGTTTCTAATAATCCGTTATCCTCAAATTAGGTCTCGGGATCTCAAAACCAGGCGGGTTCTACTTCCTCCTGCTCCGTCCAAAACCAGAAGGCACCCAAGTTGCTTTCATCTTAAGCATCCTCAAGCCTGTAACCAGGAAACGGAATATATCTGACTTGAGAGGGGACAACAGCAGATCCTATTAACAATAGCCACTTACCAAGCCCAGACCACGTACCAGGCGCTCTCAAAACCTCCCAAGATATGTCCTAAGTAAGGCGGTGACTTTACAGTTGGAGAAATGAGATTCTGAGAAGTGCCTTGTTGGAGGTCACACGGCGGGTCAGTGGCAGGCAGGATGTGAATGTTTCCCGGGGCCTGTGTGATTTTCACTCCACCAGAGTGATGGAGGTTGAGTCGAGAACCTTGGGAGACAGAGAGGAGTTTAGGGAGGGGCCGAGCCGTAGGAAAGGAACCTGGGATTTTACTTCCCCTTTGCTGCCTCTTTCAACAACTTCCTGTGGCTCCACAGCCGTGACTTGCAGTAATTCAAAGGGGGGCTAAGTCCAAGAAGCCACCAGTAAGTAAATGGTGGTCCACACAGCGGGTTCTTAAGCACAGATAAAAGTCCTTCTTGAAAATGAAAAGCCTCTTTTCATGTCCTCCCCACCCTTCCTTAATCTGCCCAAGCAAATGTTCACCTTGGCACATTTGAAGAAAACCATTTTTGAACAGGTCAAGGCACTACAGGTATATTTGATATTTGGCCTTGGGAATTTACGGCAGTGGGGGGTGGGGGTGGCTGAAGGCCCACAGCAGGGGGGTAATTTGTAGTTCTCCTGAGGCTCAGGTTTGAATCTCATTTACCCCCAAGCAAATGAGTCCCTGGCTGTCTGCCCAGGTTCTGTTGCTTCTCTTCCATCGAATAATTTCAAGGATGCAGTAACCTTGTGATGTGATGGAAACGTCCTTGTTGAACAAATGGCAATGGCTAGTGCTAGGCATGGCAATGAAGACCAAATAACGTCTTAGGAAGTGATGGTTCTCAGCCAAGGAGAGAAAAGAGGCAGGGAGAACAGCCCCCCAAGAATACAAGCTATAAAAACAATACAGAGAAGAGTGTTACATTTAGAGATGGCAGACGTTCAGCTAGGATCCCAGTGAAGTCTCCACACCCTCATGAAGATAAGAAAAGCAATCCAAGAAATTGTTTCAGCAAAGGCTCGGCCAAAATAAAAACAATGCTTCAAGAACAGTAAGAGAAACTGAAATGTTAACTCTCTCAGCCCACTTCGCTGCATTTCAGTTGGGACATCAAATGCTATAAAGTGTTTTCAAATTTGGGGATCAGGGCATAGAGCTCCTTTCAGCAGGAGGCCTGGGGCTGAAGAGGACCGGGGAGGAACAGGGCAACCATGTCTAGGGACACAGATGGAACCGCCCTGGAGGCACAGAGGTCCTCCCTCCAGGGAACTCCATGATGACGACTGTAGCCAGCATTACGGACATCTCGTGTGCGGGGTACTCGACTGACAACAGCTCATCTACTCCCTGCCCCCTCCCTATAAGGAAGGCATTGTCGTTCACGTAGGGCATTGAGGAAAATGAGGCAAGCTGAGGAAACAGCTTGTGTTACCTTCTCACAGCCTCATAGCTAAGTGGCAGAGGTGGGATTTGAACCTGGGTCTGGCTGACTCCATCAGTGTATTAACCGGAGTTTTGTCCCTGCTATTACAGAAGCCTCAAAGAAAAAGCATTGTCTCCTTCCCTGCCACCCTTCTCCAGGCAAGCAAGCAAACCCGGAGAGCAGGCCTCTTCCTGCCCCAGGAGAGCATACAAAGGCCTTTGCTTTCAAAAGCCAAGACTTCTAGAAACAAGACTGGGCTGCCTAACAGATGTTAGGTCACCTGGGTAAGGGCTGGCTTAGGGCCAGGCAATGTGATTTAGAAAAGCAGTGCTGTTGTTCAAAATGGTGAATTAAACAAACACTATTCCCACTCTTCCCTCCTGAAACTTCACTAAAATGACAGCAAAGGACTCTTATTTTTTTAAGGGGCAAACCCATAAGGACGAAGAGAATAGAAGAGGCAACTGTAAGCAAAACTCCGGAAAGCAGGTGAATGAGTGGCAGTGGCCTCAGCAGACCCGAGAAACCTGAATTCTAAACTGGAAGGCAGAAGGGCAAGATTCACCCCACAGGCCCCCAACATGTTCAGAATTGGTGCCACCAGGTACCTCCAGAGGCAGGGGTGAAGGGAAATCGAAAACCAGAGGACTGATGCAAGTCTGCTTAAGAAGGAGCTAGACACCCAGATCTCTTGATCCATGCTGCTAAGACACGTAAGCTCCTGCACTCAGCTAAAGGCTGGGATGGAGTCTATGGAGAGAGAAAGCCAGAGAATCTATGTCCTGGGAGGCATTTGACACGACTAAGGGCAGGAGGACTATACTGAAGACAGGAGTTTGAAGAGAGCATTTACATACTGAACATTGAAATAATTGCAAGGGTCCCCAAGTGTCCAACAAACTGGCTTAAAACATGACTCGAACTGTAGTGAATTCAATTATTTGCAACCCCCCAGCACACACACACATACACACACACACACATTCATGCATTTGCATTTTGATGGGATCAGCCCTAACAACAGCATGGCTTGTTCCACAGTCATGGAGACAGTTTGTTGCTGCAGCCATTAAAAGCCAAAGCTGCACAGCAGTGGCTCCTTGGGGTTCCTTCTGCCACCTATAGGTGCATCCTGACAGTCTCACCATAGGTGCTGTGCCTCTCACCTGCTCCCCCATGACTAGCTGGCTTGTGGTGCTGAGGAGTACGCAACCCGGAAGTATGGGGAAATTTATGTCGAGTGGAGCAAACCTTTGATCACTGGGAGACTGAAGCCAGTGGAAAATTTCGAGTGGTCCTGAATTCAACTTATGCAGCTTCTTGGCCAGGTCTATAGGGTCATGCAACAATTGCACATAGCAGCAGTCAGCTTAACAATGAATGCATCCTCGGGTCCTCTCTCCCCACTTCCCTGCTACTCTCCATGCGATTCCCCGAGACTGCACTCTCAAACAAAATAATAGCACATAAGCCTTCTGCTACAAGCTCAGCTATTGGGAAGCTAGGCGAAGAGAAAGCAAGACACATGGCTGTGAAATTTCAGAACACTATGGAAAATAGCCTATGAGTTTCCAGAGAGATAACAAAACAGGTTTTATACAAAGTCATCAACAATCAGAATGGCTTTGGACTTCTTTACTGCAACACCGGAGGCTAAAGCACAGCTGAGCAAATCCTTCAACATTTGACAGAAAATGATTTCTGGCTTAGAATTCTACACTCAGCCAAGCTATCAATCCAGGGTGAGGGTAAAATAAAGGCAGTTTCAGGCACATAACGTTTCAAAATGGGTTCTCCCTCATGCATCAGTTCCAATAAGCTATTGGATAAATTGCTCCACCGAAACCAAGGTGTAAACTGAGAAAGAAGATGTAAGATGCGGAGAAGAGAGATCCAACACCGCAGAGAGGCAGCGGGACTCTCAGCATGGTGGTGACAGGGGATCCCAAGGAACAGCTGTGCAGCAAGCCAACACAGCCACCAGCTCAGGAGGGGGGCAGGTCAAACCGTGCCAGGCGGGGGGAGGGGGGGGTTTCCTAAGAAGGCAAAATTGATACGTGCTTGAATCTATTACAAGGAAGTTGATTTGGTGATAAACATATGAAAAACTAAGCAAACAAAAAAAGGCAGTTATTAACTACAGAGAAACAAAAAGTCACGTGGGAAAGGAAAAATGATCATAATATAACAGACTGCTCAGCTATCATGGTAGGCTGAAACGGCCCCCCAAGGGTGTCCATATCTTAATCCCCAGAACCCATGACTAAGTTATTTTACATGGGAAGAGGGGTTTTTGAAGGCATGATAAAATTCAGGATTTTGAGATGGAGAGATTATCCTGGGTTATTCAGATGGGTCCAATGTCATCACAAGTATCTCTATAAGAGGGGAGCAAACAGATTTGACTAGAGAGGAGAAAAGCCATGCGATGATTGAAGCAGAGGGAAGCACAGGGANTATGGTTATGAAGATTTTTTTTTTAGAGATGTAGATATGGAAACATTCTTTGATTAAAAAGTAAAGCAAAGCAAGCTGTAAAACTGCATGGTTGGTATAATTTCAACACTTTAAAATAATATTCAGAGAGTAGGAAATACAACACAACGATAACTATGGTTACCTGTAGAAGTTGGCAGTATGGCTGCCATATACATATATATATGTTTACCCCCCAAGAATCAGGGAGAAAACTTTTTTTTTTAAATTTGGCAGTAATAGTATTATTACCTTCTATCAATATTTTTCATCCAAGCTCAGAGTCTCTGGCACACATCAAGTCTCCCGCCATTATTGTAAGGAAAGGTGGCAAGTGTCCCAATCTTAGCTTCAAAAATTTACACACCAAGCCGTGGCAGAGACCCACGCCCCTTCAGGGTGATCGAAAAAGCCCTCATGGGTCCTGCAGCTCAGTGTGTACTTTTTCAAAAAGACATTTAAGAACTCCAGACTTTTAGCTTTATATTTCTAACCCAGGCCTTCCCGTTTTATGGACATCGGATCAGTACTATGACGGTGTTAATTATCGGATAAAGGCTTCCATATTCAAACAAGTTGGGCAAGTTCACATCCTAGGTTTAATGAGTTCCAAAAGGTTTCTCTATGGAAGCATCCCCGAGAGGGGCATGTAGCAGGTATCATTTCCCAGGTGAATTTCACCAAACCCTTCCATTTGAGGGCTTGAGATGGAGCGGCAGGGACATCTGGGGAAGTAGTTTTGAGTCCCAGCCTTCCCTCCGCCTTCCAGCCCTGGGATTCTCAGTCCTGGCCGCACACTGGGATCACCCAGGGGCCTTAAAAAATCCCTTGGCCTGGGTCCCACCCTGGATTTGGCCTAGGGAGCAGTCAGAGCCAGGACTGAGAACCACTTCTTCCTTATGCTCTCTAAGTTACCTGTGCTGAGAAGAGGTCAGCACCCGGATGGGGGTCCAACCTCAAAATTATTCACATATCACCCATTTTTGGAGCTAAGTGGAGCCTCAATGGACATCTAATCCAATCTTCATTTTACAGAGGAGGAAACTGAAGTTTCCCCCAATGGATTCCCGGCCCCCTGCCTCTTCCTTTGCTGGTTCCAGCCGGTGTCAGGCTGCCCCATGGGCCCCCAGGCCTCTGGACCACAGGAGCCTTCATGCAGAAGAAGTGAAGGAAACCTGCACATCTCCAAGGCTATTTTGCTGCCAGAGGTTACCCATAGGGCCCCTATCTCTGGGAAGCGGACCCTAACACAGACAAATCCTGACTCAAGTCCCCTTCCTAATACAATCCCAGAGCTGAGGGTGAGAAGCCAGGAGACTGCTG